AAACTTCGAGATCTTTTTTAGGGCACGGCTGCCGGTTACCGCACTCTCGGGGGAAATCATGTCCTGGGCCGTGTGCTCCCAACTTTAAAATATATCAGGAGGGAGAAGCATAAAATAAGGCTAAGAGGGGGGAGGGAAAATAAAGGGAGCAAGAAAAGAGAGTTTTCTCTGACACAGCCCTGCGCGCTCTGCCTTGCGGGCGCCCTTGGTGACCCAGTCGGATTGTCTAGGCTGGTTCGGGGTCAAGAGAGGAGAAAGAATGGGAAAGAAAATATGACCGAGTTCTGCAGAGGAAAGGATCCAGGCAAGCATAGGGAGAAAAAAAAAAGGTACACAAGGAAAAGCGTGGAAGCATAATCCAGCCCTACGGTGATGACGCGCTGTTTTTTTTCTTTTCTTTCTCACGTACGCATCTTGACGATAAGCTTTTTTCTTTTGTAAAATAACCTCTGTTAAGCAGACCGCTCCTTGTTCCTCTCATTCGGGGTTCTTGTGCTCACCACCACCACTTCATATGGCGGAAGGGGGTGGGGGGTTAGAAAAACAAATCAGATAATGGCTATAGGCTATTTCTACTCTGTTGCTCCCGAATTGACTAATTATAGGCTTATCCAATGGGAAATTACAATTCTGTTGCGGCATATACTGCTCCGCCTTGTGTTTTCTCGAAAAAGTCGGGAACTACAGTTTTTGATTATTTCCTTGCCTTACCTAGCGGAAAAACAGCATGATTTATCACTCCCTCACCCATTATGCGTGCTTTCGGAGCAAAAGATATGAAGTGAGCACTTGGTGAAGCATGTAGAGGTGTGTGAGCAAGTATCGTAGGCATCATGTGCTTATAATGGTTGATAATCATTAATTGTTTTGTCAACTTGACTGGAGGAAAGCCGAGGTTTCCTATATTTCTTTCAGAGTCTGTATACTGGACATTTATTTGTCCGGCCACTCATATTTCGGTATCGTTTAATGCCAAATCATTTCGGCCATTGTTGTGGCTGCTCCTATTGCTGTAGAGGCTACTGCCGCCGCCGCCGCAACCTTTTGACTCAATGTACCTGTCCAGCTTGTGATCAAGTACTGTGTGAATCACTCTGTATAGCCTCCCGTTCGTATGGGGATATCGTCTGTCCTAGTTCCATTACCCATCATGGCTCATTCAGCTGTCATGAAGCCTCGAGACCTGATACCAGATAGCTTTCTGTGATATCATTTATTTCGATCAAAGATGACCATCTCGTTGGGAAAGAATAAAAAACAGTCGGAAAAAAGGTATTTTTCCCGGTATTCTTTTTTTTATTCTTGCTTGTTCCCCCCTAAAGGCGTAGGCTAGATGCAATGGCCTGCGTCTCGAGGGCATACTTTCTCTAGGGATCTGGCGTACACATGATGGCGGATAGACAACTTTAAATTTGGCGATAGCGGGAGAAGAGAAAGGGGCTCCCCTTTGGGAGGTGACAGGAAAGAAGAACCAAAAACGTCAGGGTCAATTAACCTCACGAGAGTTTGAGACCACTTCACACATCTACCAGACCCTCCTTCTCGTTCCCCCATTTTGCAACGGTCTGGTCCACCCCTCTTTCGCCATTCTGTTTTAGTTTCCGTCAAGGATCAGCTACTTTTTTCTGTTTTGGGGGCCGCAAATAGATTGGTTTCTCACCACGAATCCCCTTTCCCCCGTCATTATGCGAGATGTCAGCAGTAAGATGGGGAAAATCGCCGGTAGATGGTGAGGCGTCATGGGGGAAACGGTACGGGAAGGGAAGAGACTAGCTACTCGCTATCCAAGGCGAGTAGTGGGAGGTCGAGGGAGGCAAGAGAAGGTGGAACCAGCCCCCTTATACCTACTCCGGGCTTTTGCTCGTGATAGAGAGTTCCCAAATATGACAAAAGGGCAGATACATGGGAACATTGCCCAATATGTGAAACGATAGTAGCAAGTTTAGAGAGTCACATGCGTGACGCGTCTTGTTGAAGAGAGGGACCGTCGTAAGTACAGTCGTAGGCTCTTTCATCAGGCAAGTATACCTAATACAGCCAGACTACTACAGAGCCAATCACTTTTGCTGGCACGTACATGCAACGACCTCTTTTGGGCTGGCTCATCTGATCGATCTTCGGTCTGTGGCCGAGCCCGCCTCTAGGCTCGGTCGGAATGGAACTCGGAAGCCCACGAGGCAAGAGAATGTGATGCAGCGGATGAGGGGGAAACAGGGTCTAGTTGCCGGCTCTTCCATGATACCATGAAGTTGGCCCCATTGTTCCTTTCTAAAGTCCGAAAGAGCCGAGTTTCTGATGTTTTTGGTAGACTCGAGTCTCACGGCACAATGATGCCGAACAAACGCACAAAGATGGTCCATAACAGTCCCCCCCCCTACTCGGCGTACTTTCGCGATTCTGGATATCATTTGTTTTCTTTACCGTTTTCGCCGAAGTTCGCCGAGAAATCAGTCTGATCAGAGAGAATGAGATGAACTATGCTGTCCTTGAATCTCATCATCATTCCTGCTAGCTATTGCTAGAGATGCCAAGGCCACCTATCAACGGCGCGGGCCGCGGAAAATGCCAAGCTTCGCTGCCAAGCTTCTACTAACAAAGGAAAGAAGATGATGATGCTGACGCTCAAGTTTCACTTGCATGATCGTTTGTGCGGAACGGGCATGGAACGGGGTGAGGTTGATCTTCAAAGTACGTGTTTTTTTTTTGCCCTTCACGTTTGATAATGCCAATTATATGTTTTCCAAGACACTCGATCATGGAAGCCATGTCCATGTATCATAGCACGTGAGCAGAGCTGTAGTGAAATTCTTTTCAAAGCGCTGTTGCATAGAGTGGGAAAAGCGCATATTCGCCCCAAGATATCACAATTACTAGAGCAAACCACAAGATAGATAATTTCTCCATGTCTTCTTTGGTGTCACATGGCCAGACTTTTCCGAGTATTGCCCAATAGACTGACGGGCATCGTCATCCTTACTCAAGGCAGGGTCTTCGGCGACACTGATGGATTCGATTTCTAGCCGGAAAGGACCTTGCTGTTCTCCAAAAAAGCTATTCACAATGTTAACCAGTGGATGAAGAGGAATGGGAGAAGAAAAAGAAATAAAGAAAATAAAATAATGATAATTCCAAGAGTGGATGGATTTGACACTAACCTCCGCATCATTATGCTGACCCGCCTCACCGATTTCAGATCCAGCGGCTCGGCGTCTGACTTGGGCTTGCCGCGGTACGTGGGCTTGAACGCGGACCAGGGCACAAACGCCTTGTGGTCTTTTTCATGGGTAAAGTCATACTCCCAGCTGACGGTGCTCTGCTCGCGGCCATCCGGGCGCTTTGGCAGCTCCTGGTCCTTGAGCGTGAGCGTGTACTTTTTGCCGTCGCCGCCGAGCAACTTGAGCAGGATCCCGTCGCCGCGCGACAGGTCCCAAGGCCCTTGGTCATCGGTAGTCCGCTGGGACGCAAAGCCCGCGCCGCCTAGAGTCTTGATGTCTAGGTTGCCGCGAAAAATGGCCGCCGAGACCTGGGTGTGCTGCCCAGAAGTACATTCGAGGTAGGACTGGCTTTTGCCCCCGCGGACGCGATCATCAGAAGACGTCCAGCATCGTGCATCCCAGCCTCTTTGTGCGTAAAGTCAGTATAGTTTGTCGTCATCGTCATCATTACTGCCAAAAAGAGCTTTTTGGGGGGCCATGCGGGCTTTGCCATTTTTTCTTCTTCTTCCTCCCTCTTCAAAGGGCAGCAAGCCAGACGCAATCAAGGTGGAAAGAAGAGATACACTTACGCGGCTCCACCAAAGAGGTCAAAGTGGTATGGACTCATGGTTATCTGGGTAATAGGGAAAAAATGCTTATCGACAAGGGCGAATAATAGGATCAGAGCCAGAGCCAAAAGCCTGAAGCCTGAAGCCTGAAGCCTGCCAGCCAGGGTTAGCCGTCGTCTCACAGGCGCGCGTCTGTCCGAGCCCCGGCTCACTCTAAACAATTGCACTACTTGATTGGATCAAGGGCCGCGCGAGTTTTCTAGAGCTGTCAGATCGTCACTTGCGTCAAATGAAGTCGCTCCCAATTACCGCCCGTATGTACACAGGTGAAGAGGACGTCGTCAATGTCGTTGCTCTCTCGTTTGCCGGTTTAGGGTTTAGCAAGGGCGAAAAAATAAGCCCGGGGAGACCCCCATCTTTTTTCTTTTTTTTCTCGGCTGCTGCTGCTTAGTAGATGATCTCATCGAAACTTGATCCGCTCCGGGATGTCACTCTGGCGCCAACCGGGGGACTCGGCCGGAGAAGGGGGGCTGGCATTTGGCTATCGGCCGAACAGTCCAATGACTCCAATCAAATGAATGACTGAGAGCAAAGCCCGGACAATCTTGATTTCTATGGAAGCTTAAGTCAAGTCTGGACGATTCCATATTTGCAACGGCTTACAGATCCAAATATCTCGCTATGCAAAATACGACCATGACGGCGCCATGCATGCCCATTCATTGCAAATACTATCATTTTCAGGCTTCATCTGCGCCAGTCAAAGACCCGGTTCCGGTTCGGGTAAGTAGCCTTTTGCTCCAATATACTTTAGCGCACATGGAATTGGTAATTGGCTGTCTTGCGGACGTGTCATGGCCGCCTGTTTTCTGCTCTACTGTATACACTACGGCACGAGTCGAGCTTGGAGGTTCATGATTGGCAGGGACAAAGCACGACGTCGTTGTCGTTGTAGTCTTTGCTGCTCTCTGTCTCTTCGGAGTTGTGCTCGTTTCCTCTCTCGATGGCTTGCCTGCTTCCTCGCTCACGCTTGTACCATTGCCAATTTGCTACTCCACGAGGCCCCGACTCGTCGCTCGATAGTCTGGTGGATTCGCAAATTTGGAACTTCTTGCTTACAGTATAGTTTACTATGCACATACTCTCTTCCCCCAGGTTGGGTAAGAAAGAAAGCCAAGCTTTGTAAGGGGGTCCGCTCGGTTGATCCTTGGTCTTGATACTACTGCTTCCTTACCCGGCACTCGCTGCTCGTCAGAACTCTGTTCACTGGGCAGCCTCCGTGCGTAGTGTTCCTACGCGACAAATAAAACTACCGCTACCTTTTGGGAGCACAAGGAATATCCAGTGTAGAATAAATGAGGGGATTTTTATTGCATTCTTTCGCTTTTCCTTTGCAGTGCCACTTACGTGATCATCTAAGAGCAATCCATCCAAAAACTCCTTTGCTCATTCGGCAGTCCCCAATAGGCCAGACCGTGAGGCTTGCCCATAGACAAGTCTGGGCCCGCAATCAAGGTTCAGCATGTCTCATCGTCTTGAACAGGACCATGTGGCAGATGGGGGCCAAGGTAGAGAAATGGAAGGAGGCCACATGGAGGGACAAGTCAGGCGAGGCGGGTTGCTGCTCTATGCCTTTTGTTCGTGATGAATATTTCTCTTCCCCCTATATTGCCACGCTTGTTTCATCTCCGGGTCTAGTCATGGATGGTCAAGAGGGCATGATTTAGGTGCACACATATGTTGATGATCATGTTGCTATTGTAGTTGATCACGGTTCAGGCAGAGCGACTGGCTGATTGTCGCCGTGTGCCTGCCACATTACCAAAACAGACAGGTCCGAGCCAGAACAGCTCAGCCCTATCAAAAGGGGTCCGGGAATGGGAGGGGGGGAAGAGATTCAGAGGGAAAAAGGTGTTGCTATTGGCCTCCGCTAAAACGCGGCCGACTGTGGAGATAAGTTTGTGAATCCTTTCTCCTGCTTGCATCCGATAATCCAAGGTAAGGGGGACGAACAGCATATTCTCTCTTCCTAATCGTCGAGGCATGACGAAGATCATTTCTGAGTATGGGCCAATGTTATGGAAAGTCTCGCGGCGGATTATCATCAGACGATACATGACAAGTCTTCTCTTGGGTGTTGGATGGATGCATACATGAGTGAGTATAGCCTCGTACTCTCCCCCCCAACACCAACACCAAGGAGCGGAAACGTTTTGCATGTGCCGCTTGAACGTGTCAGGAAACAATACCTGGAAAAGTCTCCGGAGGTGCTTCAAAGACAAAAAGTCTCCGGGGTGCTGGGAAGGGGAGGGGGGGGGCTGCTTGCATCATTCCGTGCTCCTTTGACAAGAGTGATGGTTTACTGAAACCCTGCGTCATGTACGATAACCAGCGGCCGACTGCCCCGGTTTATTTTTTGCCCTTCCCTTTAAACTATAAACCCTAAACTAGTACAACAAGCACGATACCTGCCACCAGGCTTGCTGCTGGGCTCCATGACCCTTACCGACAGACACATACACCATGTGGGAACTGGCAGCTTTTGGAACGGTAGCTTCGGGGGTGGAAGGCAGAGCCAAGCTTCTTATTGCAGAACAAACTGCCACAAGATTCCAAACAGGATTGGCTGCCGTGACTGAACTATCGTGAGTACCCTTGCAACCAACTTGCCAAACCAAGAGGATAAAGTCCGTAAAGTCCATGGCGTTTGACTTGATGCACAGCCGCCGCGCCGCACTTCTTCTTTTCCATAACAAGTACCTGCTTCGAGGGTATCGTATAGAATTAGACATTGCAGAGCATCAATAAATCAATAGTAAGATAGGGCCATGTGTCTTTCCTTTACAAGTACATGTAAATAGGTACGACTAGCCGTAGCCAGCCAGCCGGTTCGGTTGGGCTCTGCGCTTGTTTTCGCTTTTGCTGGGATGTGCAAAGTTCCTCGCAGCCGTTGGACGGGGCCTAGCAAGAGCCAAATGATCGATGATCAATGCGGTACCCACGACCGCGCCCTTGGCTAAACAGTTTCAGGGTCCAATTCCAAGGATCTGCCGTGTCTCTATTCTAAGTCACTTCTCTTTCCCTCCCTTTCTAATGAATGTTTGCTACGTAATAAAGAAAAACAATGTCATCGTGTTTAAGCTTTCCCCCAGCGTAAGACCTGTTCTTCATGTATGCTTATCCATGTCCCATCTTTTTTACATACTTGCGGTGTCAAGAATAGAGAAATCAAGGCGAAGCCACAAGGTCTATTGTAGTCGTCTCGAGGACCGTTCGCAAAGAAGGGCGCGCTGTGATTCTCCATCCTCCTCTCCCAATCCCGCAACAGCCGGACCTAAACCTTGTCTTTTCCCAAGTGTCTTCAAGTTCTAGTATACCGCCCAACTCACCCTAAAACGGCGCGAAATTTGGATAGAATAAAAAGGGACCTAGGGCGTCTATTGACTTTTAACTGTATTTGGATAACCGAAAACGCTCTCAAATGCCGAAATACCGGGATTTCTCGGTATTTCCCCTTCTCTTCTATCTGTGACTTGTGTTATCTTGAATACACTAAGGTATACACACCCACATAGACACCACGAGATACCATAGAGCAAAAGCCAGAAAAAGTCCCGAGCTATTCAAATGAGCATTGCGTCACATGTGGTCAAAATAACACAAGACAGACGCGTGTTTTTGCTCGCGCCTTTGTAAGCTGCCTCGAGCTTGCATAGTATCATGGAGGTGAATGAGCACAACGGAAACGTTCCAGATTATGTTGGATAGTAGCGGAGCAGCTCAACCAAGATGTCATTGTAATATGCAGGCATTTTTCTTTCAATGCAATACTTTTGAAGATCACATTGGGAGCAGGAGATTGGAGCTTGATAATTGGTTGTATAGCTTCTCCCATTTTTCTCATGTAGCTAGCCTAATCTAATGCTCTCCTCCTCTGTGAGAGCGACAATTTGCAGCTCCTTTGATCTCCAAATCATGCTCCCCGCCCTTGCTTGTCTTCTTGACCGACACCCAAAAGAGGTGATAATGATAAAGAGAAAAAAAAGGAAACATGAGAGGAAAAAAGCCAATGCCACTAACCACCCCAAGTATAATGATATTTGCCCAAGAATCCCGCAAGGTCGAGCACTTCGAACCCAAAGCAAAATTTTGCGCCTCCGCTTGCCATACATAAGCTCGTAAAGAAGTAGTAATGAAACATGAAAATATAAAAAAAAAAACGTAAAAACTTGGGCAAGAGAAGAGAAAAAAAAAACTATGTCCAAAGAAGTTGTGATGGTGTGAACACATCTTTGTCTAATAAACCCCTTTTCCCGTTGTTTCCTTTTAAACCCCTTTTCTATACTGTTTTGGAAGGGGGGAGGAGGTCTTTTTTTTTCTTCTCTTCTTCTCTCTCTTTCAAAACCCGCTCATTGTTGTATCATGTTGGGCGAGTCTGGCATTGATAGCGGTGTGGTTGGGTACTCATAACCGGAATCAGAGCAGTTTGCCGAGTGGTCGAATGAGTGGGAAAGAGGCGGTGTCTGAATGAGTGGGAATCCGATCAGTTTCTTGTTCCTTTTTGTTTTGTTTTTTTTGTGATTGTTTGGTTTTTTTTTTAAATAAAAATCTTCTTTTCGTCTCGACACCCCGTGCTGAAAGAGAGAGATGGGGAGAGATAGAGAGAGAGAAAGATATTCATCGATGGTGATGATGGGAGCTATGATGGCGCACATGACTCACATGAGGGTTGGAGCTGTCGTATGGGTTCTGACCACTCATATCAATGCCTGGCAGGAAGCCGTAGTTCATGTAGGGCGACAATGACTCCTCGGGGTACGATTCCCTCTTGATGGCGTCGTTGAAGTGAGTAATGGAGGGCAGCGTCGAGGGCATGGTGGTGGCCATGTAACTAGGGTACGCCTCGGCCGTGGTCATGGTCTGGTAGGGCTGCGCGGCACCGTAGGGAGGCAGCAGCATCTCGTCGGGCGGCGGGTAAGAAGAGTACTGGATGAATGGTGGTGTGTGCGAGCGTTCTCTGTCGTCGTATGGCGAAGGAAACATGAGCTCGTCCTCGTGGGTCATGGGCGGCGTAAACTGGGGCGCTTGCACTGGCTTCTGGGGCGCCGGAGTTCCCTTTTGCGTCTTAACCGGGGACTTCTTCACATTCTTGCTGGTGGTCTGCTTCTCTGGTCCACTGGCCGGTGGGGAGCCATCCGAGGTGTTGGCGCGTCTCTCCAGGTCTTCCAAACGTCTCTTGAGCTTCTTGCCTGTAGTGGTTTGTTAGTCTTCTGATTTTGCTGCCCCCGGATTCTCGTCTTTTCTCCATGTACATGTGTAATGTATTGTTGCTCGGAATATAGAGAAGCTTCACGTACGGTAGTTGCGTTGAGCGATCCGGTTCTGGATCCTCCGGCGCTCAGCAAGATCGGAGATCTTGGTCCAATCCTCATCGGGGTTTGCGGAACTGGAAAAGGCGCTGCTGGTGCCGTGGGCGGGATATTGCCGTGGTGGTGGTGCCTGAGCGGCGGCATAGGTATATTGGTGTTGCGACATGGCAAACATGTTGGTCTGAGTTTCAAGCAGAGATGGCTGCCAATCCAGTTTGAAAGATGAGTATATGAATAGCTGTTACACACACTCGGGCAGAGTGAGCTCAGTTTCTCTGTTGATGGTATACAGTGGTATAGTAGATAGTGTGCCGGTAGTCAAGTGTGGTGCCTTGGTCAAGTTTCCTTTTCGTCAAAGAGATGTGATATTTGTATAGTCTTTCTTTCAAGTGTCTTTACTTGTTGATATGCTCAGAATGAATCTGAATGTCAAGGCTAGGACTGGATGAGGGTAGAAAGGATGGGGAGGGGATTCAAGATATATACATGAAGGCCGAGCAAGTGACGAGACAGCTACTGGTGTAAATCCTTTGACCAGGCAAGCTACCACGACTACTGGATACATGGATACATAGCTACGTACATGGGGATGTGAGGGTCTCGTAGTAGCTAAGGTACGTACATTATTTTTGGGACCTTTGGCGTAAGGCCATCCACTCAATCACTCAGTTACTTACTCACTCCAGCAGGGCTCGTGGGTCTTTGACGGCCGCTGCAGGAGAGAGAAGGGACCAAGTGGGTGGACGTTCATCTACGTACCTGCTAAGCTAGGTACCTTCGCTACATACGTAGATACTCTGGCCCCCCCTCCTCCCCCCCTTGCCCTACCAGGACAGAAGAACGTTTTTGGCGCACACAGCCAGCGCCAGCCCAGTATGTACTGGTGGTAGTCAAGGTCGTCGGGGCCGGTACATGGGCAGGAGATGGGGTTAATTGGGGCCCATCCATCACTCTAGTGCCAGTATGAGCAGCATGTACGTAGATCCCACGGGTGAACGAATGCGAAGAGTGTGTGTGGATGGGTAGTGTCGATAGGTACACTACCTGGCGGACTGGACAAGAGGAGGAAGAAGCAGGGCAGTGTATTCCGTACCGACAATACGTATCTACTTTTCTTCTGGACAGGGGTTCCACGATAGCTGGGGACTTTACCTTTTGACTTGGGTGTGTGTCTTGTCTTGGCTTTTTTGGGTCCTTTGCAGTCCTTCCGCCTTTTCGGACTCGACCAAAAGGCTAATGCAACGTTCTGTGCGTTTGCCAATGAGGTGCTAACCCGCGCCGCAATTCCCAGGGCTCCAGGGGGGGTGCCACGGTACGTAAGTACATGTCCTACGCTACCTACGTATGTACTTTGCCTGGGTACGAGAACAGCGAACAAGGGGGGGGAGGGGATCAGTCAGTCATTCGGTTGGTCGGATTTTTGATCGGTGCCAGTCAAATGGGAAGGGAAGGGAAAGGAAAACACAGAGGGGAAAGAAAAGGGAAGGGATGTGAAGCAGGGATAACTGAAGGTACCCAAGTATTTTGCCTGGTATTCCCATGTCGGGTCTTTTGGGTCCCGCACACTCGCCATTCAACACAATACCTACCTCACTAGCAACTGCTGTGCCTCGTGGATCAAGAGGAAAAAGTTCCCCCCCCAATCCTGCCCAGACAGCGAAGAGAAGAGACATAAAATCGAAGGGGTAGTTTTTGTTATTATTATTATTCTCAATCAGGGCTGTTAAAGCGGCGGTGACTCTCTTGACTCCATACACCATCCATGCTATGGCAGAAGAATAGGAACCGCAGTACGTATTCCTTCCCATTACACACGCTACTCTCTAGGCTCTGCTCACTAATGCTACCGAGCGGCCGAGCGGGTCCATAGGGCTAAGTATTTTTTTCGTTTCTCTCCCCGTCTGTCTGTCTGTTCACACAATGTTGATGCCGCCGCCGCCATCGCCCGCCAGACTGAATCGTCCCCCGTCGTTTTCCCAGTGGTGATTGAATGCCGTCACTATCACTCATCTGTACTCATCTCGGCACTAAACCAAATGGCTCGGCCATGCGAATTGGGAAACAAATTGCCCTGGGCTGCCCAAAATGCCCACCCACCAAGATGAGACCCCCCATACCTACCTACCTATCTACCTACCTGCTGCCTACTACTACTGCTCCTCCGGCAGAGATACACTTTCACGCCATGACTTTTTGGCTACCATTTGACTTCAAAGGGCGTGGCATGGTCCTTTGGAACCACTCACTAGCTCGCAGGCAACGGCTATTCTTAAGTGCGCTCCTGAATGAAGCATACCTAGATGCTACCCCAAGACCACATGAAAAAACAACAACGTAGGAGAGCCAATGTACGCCTGCGTGCACAGCAATTCAGCCATATGGTCCCGACTAGGAGGGTGGCTTAGATCCCCCCAAGCAGCGGCCGCGCTGTAGTGTCATGCATGCGCGTATCCAATGTACGTCCTGACTGACTGAATGGATGAATGATTGACGAGAAGCTGGAAAGCATCGTTACAGCAGACAAAGTGACATTGTTTTTCCTTTTCCTTCCGGCGGAAGCATCGTTTCTTCGCGCTTGTCGTCTTTTATCCTATTCCGTACTGCTGTTAATCCTAGCAGTCATATACTTGAGAAACGTTAACCACAGACTCTAGCTTTGCATTGCCTACATCCGCCGAGGTCCCGTACTTCAGCCACTCACTTGGCGGCATTGCTCCATTGAAACGTCAAACATGGTAGGCACATTATTGATGCACACAGATAGCAGTAAACTGGAGATATCTCGTCATCGGCTCCGAAATGGCTTTCTTTTCCTCTAGGCCAAAGTTGCCCCATATTACCAGTGACCCCCGTAAATGACTGCAAGTAGGCTGCTTCTCCAGAGAGGACCGTGTCCAGCGCCGCTTGTGTTATGACATCGAACGGGCGCCCGGCAGACCACTTCTGGGCAGGCTCAAAAAGGCCCTCGCCCACTGGCTCATTCGTTTGGGCAGAACATGGCATGACACAGTTTCCCCCCCAAAGTACGTACGTCGGAAGCTGGGCACCACTATCCGCTCGCAAAAGGCAGTAGACACATTTGCTAGTAAAGACACAGACAAGAGAAGTGGAAAGACCCATTTGCCGTTTCGGCCTTAGCAGCAACCGACCACGGCTGCTCATTCTTCGCGTCGGCAAACAAGAATGTCCACTAATAAGTGCACTACGATATACTAGATGAAAGGTGCCACGGGTATTGCAATTTTAAGCCCCCAAACTCCGCGGCCTGGGGTTGGAGGAAGCTGGGTTTTGCTGGGCCATCAATGCCTCTTGCTGGTGTCCGTCAGGTTCAGGTCAGTGGATGTCGATCGGCGGAGTTTAGGAGATTAACGGGCCAGCCTGGGCCAGCCATTCACCTACACGACACGGGTGATTGATTCAATCCATTGGATGAAGGGGCTTTGCTTTGTAATCGCAGCAGCACACCGAATCAAGAAATGTTGACCTAAAGGGAAAGAAGGGAAAGACTGCCAGCAAAGTTCATGTAGAACCAGCATCACGAGATTGGCGATGGTAATCAAAAACACCCCGGGCCTGTTTGTTCCTCTCGCCGTGAGTAATAATGATAATAATAATCTACGAGCCGGCAACTGCACCCAGACCCCCGGGTTCCAGCTGGTTGGGGCGGCGGTTTTCGTTCTCGAAGAACAAACAGGTGAACCATCTCAGCCTGCCAAGCCATATGGTCGAGCTTCTTTTTGTTCCCAAGGACACGGCAAGCGACCAGCCAGCCAGCCACCAAGCATGTTTTCAACCTAGCAGCCCGTCTTTCCTATTTCTCTCTACCTCTCCCCCCCGGGACCCAGAGAGACACGTGGGCGGATTGGTGAAGAATCTATTCTTGGAAGAGGGGATGGGGGAAACAAGATGGGATGGGGGGTACACCATGTCTCTTTAGCCTGCCACCATAAAGCACCCAGTCACAACACCTTGGAGCCACTCTGTACCGTTTCTTGCACTCATTTGGCAAATTTGGGGGCTCTCGCAACTCGGACTCGAGATCCCTTAGGGCTGGCCTAGCTGTGGTACCTCTGGGGCAGTCTACTGCCGGGAACTTTTTGCTGCCAGTATTTGGCTACCATCCTCATGCGACTCGCAATGATCGTCATCCACTATCTACACAGTAGAGTCCAGACAATCTATCTGTGGGATTGACATTGCCGTTGGTCTCCCGTTATACCCGTCGGACTCGGTCCTAGGGTTCGTTTGGATGATTCATTCCCCCGTATTCCGTCACCCGTATTTCTTTTTGTTGAAAACGGACATCTATTCGGGGTGTTGAATTGCCCGCGGAGGGTATTGGACCCGATCGCAACAAGCACGACAGGAACCACTCAAGTACGTGTGAAAGACAGACATGTAAATTATGCATCTTCCAGTCAATGAGTGCAATCCTCGTTTGAACGGCAACAGCGATCATTTTGTGTGAGCGTCATCTATCCTCATTGGCTTATTCGCGTGCCTTGCGATGCTATGTATAGACGCACGTTCAGCCCTACAAAATCCAAGATAGTAAGAAAGAAAGAAAAGTCCCGACATGATGCCGCAGGGCTTCACGATCTTGCCAACCAGAATGTCGGGATCGCTTCCCCTACTACAAAGCAAAATGTGCACGAGAACATGCTGAAACGGCGACTCTTGCGATCCGTCGGCATGCACACAAAGCCCGCTAAGGATTTATCGCCACAATACCATATCTGGCAGCTTCGGTCAGTATTGTTGGCCGACGACTCACTACTAATGGGAAATGGATTCTAAATTCATGCCATTACCAATCTGCAGCTTCCATACTTGCCAACTACACATCGTACTTGACATGGATTAATCAGCTGGTTTGACTGGCCTGCTTGATTAATATGAGGGGAGGAGAGGGACATGGAGCAGGTCTCAAGCTATACCAGATTCCGCTGCATCCTTCGAGCTTTTTGCTCGCATTGTGGGTATCATAGCATTTAATCCGCCCAGGGCCAAGGCAGAGAGAGGGAGAGGGGGAACAAGCAGGCAGGCAGGCAGGCAGGCCGACAGCGCAGGGTATCATCCAGAATGCCTGCAAGGAAAGATGATAGCAATAAAAGGTTACCGCCAATAGTGTGTCTGCCCAACTCCACACATGTCCCAGATTAGCAAGTTGAGGAT